AAAAAAAAGAACGTTAACAAACTATTTTTAAAAAAACAGAAGGTTATTTGTATGCTTTACAGAAATAAATAAAACTGGCTTACAATTTCTTACGTAGTTATAACGCGCAAAATTTCTGTAAACAAGGGAACGTAGATTGCAAGCAGGCAGATAAGCGATAAAGTTGCGAAGGAAGTAGTTCATTAATCACACGCGACTAATTAATTGCATGGGTCGCACGATAAATTTAATAGGGAACACGATTGCAATTGTAACATTATTTTATGGTTAAAACAATATCTCGTATCTCACTATTTAAATATAAATTTCTTTAACTATAACTTTTACCGTTCTATTAAATTCGAATTAGTTCCCTACTTCTTGTTCATAGAATTTCCGCCTTTTTTATTTAGAATTAACCTGATGCGAACTTCAATCAAGCCAGTTATTGATATCGATTTCATCGGCGGCTCATAGTAACGCGATTATCGGTAATTTCTAATTAGAACCATAATTCAATTAACCATCACATATTTGCCAGCGTTCAGCGCGTATTAAACGTCTGTCATTGTCTGCACTTTTATCTCCATTTTATTCTTTTTCTAATAAGACTGATTACAAATTTGATAATTTGACGAGAGTTCGTAAGTAAACTGTGCAGCGTGATTATATATTATTACGTTATCTTGTCTACTGTGAGAATTTTAAGTCGCAATAATAAAATTTATTCTTTGATCTAATTTTTAAATATTCCAAAGATTTCTCGTTTATATTCTTTAAGAAATGTTGTGTACACTTTGAATGTAATTATCAAATACAACATTAATTACAACCTTTGTAGAGAAATATTACATAAAAATTTTGAAAAAATATATATTAATTTATTTATAACATCTTTTCAAGACAATTTAAATGTTGTTCCAAACTACATATTACGTTATTTAATATATATTACAATATAAGCTCAAAAATTTTAAAACGGCAATTGGACGTTTACTTTTTTTTCTGTATCAAATAGAACAACATAAAAGAAGTAAAAGACTTCTACAAAATTAAAAGACGCCTCTAGACACCTGCGCCACGTCACTTAAACATCCGCGTCTCCGTTTAAATTTTTTAATAATGCTAAGAGAGAAGAGCACACATATATTTAATCATTTTGTTTGCAGATTAGACAGCAAATATTCCATCGAACTTTGACCGATAACACGAAATGATTTCGTCCGCGATTTTCGGAGCAGCAGCCGGCACGGGGTTAGCCCTAGTGGTGGCGATGACGATCGTCGTCTATCGATATTACGCCGTAAAACGAAAGACAAAATGGAATTGGAGCAATCTGGATCGCTGGCCAGATCCGCCGAGCAAGAATGTCGACGATGATCAACCCCGTCACCACCACCACTGCCACACGGCACCGGCGTCACACGTGTTCGACTGTTGGAGGAAGCCGAAAAAGAGTTATTACGCTGTGCAGACTGCGGTTAGTAGTCAATCATCAATCTACCATTAATTAACCACGTGACAACAGTCATCTATTAAAGACTTTTTTTTCACGTTAAAACTTTGATTCTTGCAGAACTTGTTTTTTTTTTGTATTTTAATATGCTGAAAAAAAGCGAATAAAATCTGCTTTGCAAGAATAAAAAATTATTGAGTTTAGCAATTGTTTAAAGCAGATGCTACGCTTTGAGTTTAAATACACTGTCTTTTTCATTCTATTAACATTTTAATGTATTCCTAATATTTAATTTTAGAATTTTTAATCTTTGATCCTAAATTCTAGAATGTATTTTAATATTCATAGAGATACTAGCTGTACTGGCGTCTCTATGAATAAAAATTGTAGCTCTCGTACTTGCTAGCAATATTGATTTTTAGCTGGTTCTATATGTGCCGGTAATTTCAGTGGTACAACTAGAAGACGTCGGTAAAACGGTGAAGCGTTTCTACTAGTCGAAAGTCGGTAAAGTCTTACGGTTACTCTACTGTACTTGATCCTGTGATCGCAATAGAATAACGTTTTCATTCAGTGCCTTACGTCGGCAAAGCAAACTGTACGTAGCCAAAAGATACGTCGATGCCTGTACAGTCGTCGATACTGTGGAAGATTGTTTCATAAAAATATGCCGCTAAGAGAGAAACTTAGACTGTGCCAATATTTCCGTTTTGTGTGTATTGCGTAACGAATAGCACGGACTATTCCATTACTATCGGATATAATTTCACTCATGAAAGCTTTGACAAATTAGTAATCGATACCTTATAATGGCAAAACCACTTCATGCTTTATAATTAAGCTGTAGCGAATTGAAACACTGCGTGTTTAATTTGCTTTTAAATTATAGTTCATAATAATACAACACTAATTTTTTATACAAACAGAATATACCGATAAAGGTTTCAGTTTATAATTTTATTCTGATGAATTAAATGTTTAATTAAAAAAAAATCGATTACATGCAAATAAATTTTAGCAATCGTATACCTCTTGGAAAAAATTTAATATACATTTTAATACGCGAAGCTTTATTTTAAGCTTTTCTACGGTATTTATGTTCGTCGAATATATATCTCACACGAAGAAGTACAATCTTCTTATGTACAGAAACAGACCGACGTAAACAAATCGATATAACACAAAAGGTTGCTCGCCTGTGACCTATATTTTTTGGCCCACTTTTCAAAATTTATGCTGTGGAAATAAGCAATCAGAGAGATTACACAAAGGCAATTATACGTTACACACATTCGCGCACAAGTTCATCAAGCAGAATAAAATTCTGATCTCTTGCAAATGCAGATGATGTTATAAACGAGATGGGAATGGGATTAATAAGTTCGTTATCTCGCTTATCGTACACCTCCGCGTATAACCATAAAGAGCCTTCTCTGCTCCAAACGAGAACATTGGATCTGGAATTTCGATCGATACGGCCTATAACTGCGACAGATATCGTGTTTTCAAAGATATGGCTCGTAACCATATAGTGTACTACGATGATGGATTTTGCTAATATCACAAGACATTTCATAGTTATTTTTGTCTAACCTCGATCTATATTTGTGTGTGTTGCGATCTCACTGTTATCATTAATATTCTTATGTTATTTATAATTAATTTATTGACGTTGTTAATGACGCCAACAAATAAATTCCTAATAAAAGACATCGTGAAAGTTAATCAGGTACATATTTCAACATGCTATTTCTTAGACTGCTATTAGCTCCAAGTCTCATTATATCATAAATTATTATATCATAAATAATATTAATTAAGACAGAAAAAATAAATTTGTCCCACGCGTTGCAATTGAAGCAAATATAATTTGTGATTGAAGACTGTGATGTATTTAACTGGCATTTGTTCTGGCAAAACTTTAAAAACTAAATATTAAATTTGTAATTGTGAAAATCAAGCTTAGATCAATTTTCGTGAGGTTTTCAAAACTCCTGCACTAAATCCTTTCAATTAATTTTTCTAGTGCATAAAACGTTCGATTCCTTAACTTTTCGTTGTAATCAATTTGCAAAATTGTGAACTCCCACTTTATGCAAAGTGCATTGAAAGCACAGTAATTAGGTTAATGTACCGTATACTTCGACGTTGTCCTGACGAAGCGAGATTGCTTAGCTCCTTCGAGACTTAGGTATTCTTAAATTTAAATATTGCCATCATTAAACAGACCTTATTTCGTTAGAAAAAATACTTCAAAGAAATTGTTATACATTGTACAGCACATAATATTAACGTTTTGCTAATAAGCCAACTTTCACGAAAGGGAAAAATCTGTAGCATCTTATAAATAAATATTGTTTGTTTTTTCGTTCGTAAGATGTTATTTAAATCAACAGAGCAATAATATATATTTATCGTTCAAATGTCATTGCATTTGCACAAAGATAGCCCAAAGGAAACAACTCGTCTACAATCAATAGCGTAGTTTGCGTGCTTACTTACTTATACCCATCGCCGTGATTGCGAGAAAGTTGAAAAATACATTGACAGTGCAATAGATAGCACAGTTTTAAAATTTTATTAGGTGGCGCACGTATCGTATAATCCATAATACAGACCGCCAAAGCACAACGGAAGATTCCCACACAATGTAGGTGAACAATTTTACAGTTCAAGAGCGGGTGTACAATCTATATACTTATTACATACTCACGTGGTTCGAATCGCGCCTTTTATAGAACAAATTATAAGGTAAAGAGCTTATTTTAATCCATTTCCGGATAAAATGAGTTCGCTACAGTTCAGTCGGGTTCAATGTCTAGGCATAAATTGTCATTGAATTATTATTCAAGAAATTTATCAAACTGTGTAAAAAAAAGTTCTATAAATTTTACTTAAACAGAAGTTTAATTTAATAATATTTATAGAAATATTTGATTTTCTGCGATTATTGAAAAGGTTTTTAGGCAAATTTGAAATTAAGATAAAGTGCAAATTCTGAAAATTCTATCAGTTTGCGTTCAAATGTTCTCTTGTTTGTTGTTAAATGTTTGCTCTCTACTGAATCAATTGATCTTCTTGCAAAGACTAAGAAACAAAGTACCGTGTTACAAATTACTGTTTCTTTAGTTCGAAACATAACATTTCTGCAGAATACAGCGTAATATCGTGTAGCTACGTATTAAAGTGATAAAATTTCATCATCAATATATTCTAGAAAAATCAGAGAGAATCGAATTTCTTTTTCGAGATACGCATATAATTTATATGCGCGCGGTGTAATAACAAATGACGTACTTGTTTGATAACGCTAATTAGCCAGTTTGCGTTAATCGATCAAAATAAGCAGCGTTGAAACGAAAGTAGAACTAATTCCCCGCCCCAAAATCGTTCGTCGAGTTGCACGTCTCCGAGGTGTAACCTGTTGCGGCGCACGCACCATATCCCGTCTCTCTCTCCTTCTCTCGCGCCCGATATTCATCTCCTCTTCCGCCTTCCGCCGCTCCCTGGTTGATGGTCTCCCGTTCTCTTTCCCTCTCTTGCTCCCTCTTTCCCTCTCGATCAACCCTTCTCACTCTACACCCCACGGTGGCGTAACCAGCCACCCACCACCTCCGGCCACCAGCTACGCTCGGCGGCGGCGAATCGCCGTTTTCTGGTGGTACACGACGAGCTCTGGTCGGGCGCGTACGAAGTCAGTCGGGCTGGCCCAGTATCGCGGCACGGTGGATACCCGGTGACACACATCCGCGTCGTCGACCGCGGAATCGACGCACCGAGGCAAACGAGATCGAGAATCGACGCGTATCCCGTCATATATTTCATACGTCGATGTGAGAGCGTGGGGTGAAATTAATCATGTGACAATCGGGTGCCGATCGCATACCGATCAGTAGTATCACATGTACACGCGAAAACGACAACCGAACGAGGGTAAAATGTGCAACTAATTAACCACCGTGTGAAACCGCACTCGCTGTTGTTATTTGAGCGACCGACAACAACGAATCGGGTCAGCGTGGCGTCCAAGTAGTCGCAATCTGCGACAATTCAGACAACCGTCTCCTCCTCGGCGGAGAGAGACAGAACGAATAGACGGCGATGACGCAAAATTAATTGGATCAGACCACGGGTAGAGTAATGAGCCGCGGTCGTGCCTAACCGCTGAACCGTAATGAAATCAGAAGCCTCGCTATTCAGCTTCATACATGATTAACGGAGGGGAGGGGGGACTATGAAAAGCGAGAAGCAAAATTTCGTATGAGATAAGTTTGTAGAAAGTAGGGCAGAGCGGTCAACCGCGAGCAAAGGGCTACAGCTCTAAGGAGAGAACTTAAGTCCGAGCTAGATGACGATAATGTAATTTTGCCGAGAGCTTAAGTAGACACGTCAATCAAAATAAATATCGATTTTAACTAATGCTCGGATCAGTACCGCCTACACCTTTTTCGCGGTGTTTATTGAAACGTGATCTAGCGTGTTCCTTTTCGCTTCTAATCATAATGATCCATTTAATATATATGCTGTCTGAAAAAAATCAGAATAACACGAGAGACAATGTTTAGACAATTTCAACGTGAAAGAAAGAAAATGGAAAAACCGATTCTGAATAAACGAGTATTTGGTTGAGTGTCAGCAGCTTAGAAATGACGTGGCATCTTTTGCGCATAAAAATTTCATACATTTACTTGTTTTCTCATAATTATGTTTTTCCGTAATATTTGAAGTAATGATATAGTATAATATAATTATATAAAATTTAATATTTGTCATCAAACATATAATAGTCATATATAATACATATTTCACAACTATTTCAATTTGTGCATCGTTTTAGCAAAGTGCGACTGTTTTCATTCAATAAGCAATTGTAATTTTTGCGTTATACGATTGAAATAATTTGAGAAAATTGGATTTTAATACTTTTAAATTAAGTATGATTATAGTATTTAATTTTTTATAAATTTAAATAATTAAGTACTTTTAATGCTTTAATGTTATTTGATTTTGCGTTGCATATAGCTTTAATAAGCTGTATCAAGCATAATAATTATATTATCTTCAATATTTATTAGCTAAGTAGATTCTTGAATTAAGGCTTCTGCAAATATAATTTTATCAAAAATACAAGTCAAATTAGAATACAATATAAATAAAATATAATTCTATATATTTCAATAGTAGACTCAACATAATTTATACATATGAATGTATAAATTAAATAATATAAATAAAATAAAATTATTCGTTTTCTTGTATTATCAAAGAGGAGAATACAAATGAATCTCGTATAAATGTATCTCGATTAATGTTGTCGAGATTATATCCGAATCAGTCCAAGTAGAGTGACGAAGTAATTAATCGGCCGCAAACATAGGGGACAATATCGTAGCCTAACTGATTGGTTTAACGAAAGCGAATTATGCCCTAGGCAAATGCATCTTTACTTCAAACGTACGTAATTAATATCACAGGCTTTATTGACAGTTACATCTATGAACAATAATAACAGGCTACGCAATATCGAAAATGCCATCCATCAAAACAAGATTATTATTTAAATATTAATAGAATTAATTTCTGAACTCTGACAACAAATATCAATATATATATTGCATTCTTTTGTACATTTCGTGCTCTTTCATTCATCGATTTTCCTTTATTTTTCATTCGATTTTATCTATTTGAAACACTTTCCTTGTATAAATAATACGCTTATACATTGTTTACGCTATTATAACAAAAGCCGCTTATTAAAAGCTTCTACATTTATGATTTTATAATAAGAGTTATGTATAATAAAAGCCTCACACGTGTGAAAATAGATGATAATTTTTATCACAGAGTACAGAGATTCGCACACGGTTTTTTGCACTATTGTTATTTCGTCACGTCGAGACGAGTTCGAAACCAATTTTCAATCGCTCGAGAAACTGCGCCACTTTCCAAATACTCGATACGTGAACGTAAACTTTTGCGTGCACTCAAGATACTTCGAGATTGATTGCTAAAGTAGTGGATCGACGATTTACGTCGGAGTTGTTCGGCGAGTGACGGCTAAAGTTTTCCAATTACAGATACAAAAACGGCAGAGTGAGTTGCATCACATCCACGACTTCTTTTTGCTAATCTCCTGAGCCAAGATTCCTACGCTAAAAGTCACACACGCGCGTCGCCGAAAGGGACAATAGCCGGAGTACGGTAAATCGAAATCCGATTACGTAAAAACTCGTCGGCGCGGTCTTCGAACCGTCGTTGTTTTGAACGCGTTCATCAAAGTGCCGGACAAATTGTCGGAGGTCCTGGGCGATGTCCTGGAGCTATGCGGCGGCGGCGGCGGCGGAAGCGGCAGCGGTGCCGGTGATAGAAACATGTCGAGCGGCACGTCGGGCGGAAGCGCGGCCACAAAGATCGGCGCAGTAACAGGGGTGGCATTAATTAGGGGTAGATGGGCCCAGAGGGGTACGAGATCGCCCCTTTCTTCTGTTGCTAATACCGATAGTGCCGACAGTACAACTTCGACCAGTTCGGAGGTATAGTGCATATTTCAAAACTCTACGAAATTTCGAATGTATGTCGTTGATATAAACACTTCAAATGCAAAATATCATGTTGCATTTTGTATGCATATTTTATTTTCATGTTCCATATTTACGTATGTTTTTGCATATTCCATCTAAACAACATGTATGTTTTCAATAATCTTTGTTGTTTTTCATTCAATTAAAGCTTTCAAAAATATTTGAAATATTAATCTCTCAAACAACATAAAAACCCAGAAAATATCCAGAAAAGAATCAGGATGTTCATAATAATATTTAGGTACTTGTTTTGTTTAGGACGTGAATTTCACAGAAAAATACTCCGGGATTATTCGCGGAAACTTTGGCCACACGTAAAAGTGCTATCTGCTTTCAACACCCCGGAGATCTGAATGCACTTGTTGCGTCGATTCTAACTTTCCCTCTTGTTACGCGTATGACTTTGTTCAGCGTTTTCTTGCGTGTCACAGCGGTTACGTCGCATGTGTAGCTAATCTCTCTGATCTAAATTGCTTTCTATCTTTCGATCAGGGCTGCTTCTTTGATAGCATGCAATCTCCTAACAATTCACACGGGAACGCGAGTACACGCAATTTTAGTTTTCAGAGAATATACCTATAGCTGCTTAGAAAAAAACTAAAAAACAAAATTTTGCAGTATAAATCAAAGTTACATAAGTTTATCGATTAGATGCAAGTAAATTACTGTGAACAAATTGAATTTTGAAAATGGTTGTAAAAAGGATTGAATATTATGAACCGACTCTTCACGCCGATTCCGGCGTCATCCTAAGAACGTTCTCTTGCTAACAGGATATAGGATTTCAATCGATGGTCGACTGCGCCATCGTGACAATTAATTGAATGGAAATTAAGTCGATCGCGGGAACATCACCCATCACTATCCGACAAGCAATAGAAAAGGGACTGGCTCTGTGTCTTTTTAGAGTTTCTGATATAAAAAAACTCGGTCAACTATAAAAAAATAAACGAGCACAACATACACTAATATTTCATATTTTTAATTATATTTATAATATTTGATTAAAATACTTGTCCCAGATTCAATATTTTTTATTTAAAATATTCTTTCTAACATATATGTAAAAATGTGAATTTTGTTTAAAAAATCAAATTAAACCGATATTGTGTGCAAATTTTCAACAATAAAAATAATTGTAATAATTGTAATAATTTTAAAACATTTTATAATAGCATCGTAGTTATTTAATTATTAGTATTATTCATTGTTAATTGAACTATACGTGTGTGTAATTGAAATTTGAATTCATCAAAATTTGATTTCATTATTATCTCTTTCCCGCAATGCTAATTATTCTTATTGTGAAACTCGCAAAAACCATGTGTTATGTTAATCTCATATGGTGGATAATATGCAACTAATAGATCAATTTTGTAAACAACATAATTTCCCGAATAGTGAAAGGTTAAACCATAGTTAATTAATCCAGCAGTTTTACAGCTGGTATGTGAAAGGTTAAACCATAGTTAATTAATCCAGCAGTTTTACAGCTGGTCCATGTAGAACGATATATGTTGTGCTTCGGATCAATGTCTTTCACTTGACAAGAAACGAAGAGTGGTTAATTGGCATTGGAACAGCTGACAGATACACGATCATCCGTGATCGAGATACCGTTTTACAGATTGACACGCGTGCAACCTGTAAAATTCTCGGAAAATTGCATGGCGAGAAATATCATGTCGCAAATTAAAAATATCCGATTAAACCATACGTTGTAAACAAATCTAAGTTGCAGTTGAGAATACAAATTGTTTCTACTTGTTGAAATGTTCTTTTAGTTATGAATACTATAACTTTAGAGTCTCAAATCATTTTTTATGATAAAAATTTGATCAAAGAATTATTGTAGTGTTGTTTTTTTGAAATATTAGACGCTTTCATAACTAAAATGTTATATTAAATAAAAAAGCTAGTTTAAATAATAGTATAGATTTAAATACAGATAGACAAATATAGTTTTTTTATTTGTGCATGAAATCTATTTTTTCGATATTTTTTCCCCAGTGTTTTTCTAAAATGTTTGCTTATTATATCAAATTAAATTAAGCTAAAATTTCTATTTGTAAACAATAGATTTCGCCACAGTTAGAAATATTTCTCAACATGCGTAACATGTTGCCATTGGGAAATTGGAGAAACTTTATATTTATGCCATAAATCTGAGAATATCATTTTTCTCGCAGATTACATTCAACTACTTCTCGTTGGTCGTTTTTTCATAAAGAATTACAGTTTTTCGCAAGCAACTTGTAATTCCATCTTTGTTATCAAGTTTCAGATAACTTCATCTTGCAGTTTCACGCGTTCCAAGAAGCCCCGTAATAAGCGCGAATCTGGCGCGAAAATGAAAGAGCGGTCGCGCTATTCGTAATTGCGGGTCGCAATCGAGCGTTTCAATAGAACCGATTGCCGTGCTTCCGACGCACTTAAATGGGAATACACTCGTCGTCGCAATTATGCAAATTGCACGTTATAACAGTGCTTCGAACATGAGACACAGCTAACATTTCGCACAAGTACAGAAGATAGTGTGCGTCTTTGTATAGCCTTCATCACCAAGATGCCAAGTTGCGTAGATACAGTGCTATTTATCCCGAAGTACCCTGTTTTCTTCGTAAGGGGATTATGAAAAGCTTTATATGAAGGCTTATACCCAACCTCGTTAGCGCTCATTGAAATCATTTTCTGTAATAAACTAGCTGATTGCAATATGAATAGCAAGATTGCTATCGTGCATCGCACAAAATATTTATTGCCTATTAGATTGTCATATTGACGATGATAAATATAACCCTTCTAAACAGCGTTCTATTTTACTATATTTGTACGTAATTCTAGTAAGTTTGTATCCTTTTATATTTCTAGCTGATCAGTGCATTGTGTGTTATGTCGTTTGTGTGCTTCATCGATTTTAAATTCAAAAATATCAAATATTGTTATATTGTTTTATTTCTCTATATATCTGACAATTTATCTCTTATATATATATATATATATTTTCAAAGCTATCACCTTTATACCAATTCGTTTTATAAAAATATGTATATATGTGCCTGTGCCTGTGTATGTGCGATTTTTCGGCCATTCGGGTTTGTTTCACAGCTAACGAACGAGAGATGTTATTGTTTTTAATTACAGTTTAATAAATATATTTTTATTGTTTCAGCAAAAGATTTAAAAAATGCGCAAAATAATTACTTTAATTACTATAAGATTGTAATGTAAAAAAAATATAATAAAACGGTTTTTCATATTGATATCAACTTTTTTGAACATAAAAGCTGCCGGATTTTTACTGTCATTCGAGAATACAATCGAGAATACTTAGAAAAAAAAGAAAAAAGCCCAATAGAACTTTACACGCATTTTACTTGTGTGCATTGCGCGTTTCTCAAAGGAAAATATAATGGAATATTTCACAAGCGAATAATTACAAGTTAATGAAAGTCGTGCTTTAAAAGCACGTCTTTAATCTGTATTAAATCCTAAAAAATTCAATAGTAGATAATTTCAATTGTTTTATAATTCAAATCTACACACATAAGATCTACAAATCTAAAAAACTATTTATTCTTCCAAATATCATATCGCATACAGTTATCTGTTATGCTTTTTCGCATGCAGCGAAGCTCAAGTTACTTCTTTCAGTCGTGACTTTACTAAAATCGCTACATGTATTTGTTATGTACGATCGATAAGAGTACATTTTCCAAGTGAACACATTTCGTCCGCCATACTCTTTGCAAGCTTTCTGTTCGTCCTCGAATATTCCGCTCGCGGCTTATACGAAACGGCAGAGTCTGAACATGAAATGCTTTATCTACTACAGCGAACTTCGTTTCAGTCTGCTACGCGCCGGTCGCCGCTGTGTCAGGCAAAAAATTTACATGATAAAGCGGGTTAATTTTTCCGCCGCGAGGTAAAATTAAAGTCTCGCGGACGCTGTGTCATGATAAAAGAAGTTTTGCAAGAGAGAAAAAGGAAGAGATTTTTGTATCACGCATACATGAATCCCTAATGTCGCATCGCGATTTTTCGCGCTTTCTCGCGCCCGTACACACGTGTCGTCAAGAGTTCAATCCGCGAAAAGATCCTAGATTATTACGATTTCAATTAAGTTGCGTTTATGCCTTATAATCCTGTTCGCTTTGATATTTACCTGAAATACGTATACAGCTAGCATTTCCCTGCTGCTTAAATATTTAACATCAAACGCCATCAATTTATAACCTCCGGAGAGAAAGTTAGCAAACGCTATTTACAAGTTTTTAATGTTGGCAACATATTATTCAAAACCTAAGAGTTCCTTAAATAAAAAAACAATCTACTTAAATAAAAAGGGAAAAAATGGAGACATCAAAAATTAAGATAAAGAATGTTACCAGACTCAGCGTCGGCGGTATCGATTTTGCATATCCTCTTCTTGTAACTTATCATTTGCGATCTTCTCGGATATACTTTCTCGGAAATACGGATGTTAGATACGTGCCTAATTTGCCAGGCATCAAATAGATCCCGCGCCGGCGCGCGCATATTGCATTCGAAGAAACGACGTGTGTGAATTTACATAACGATATAAGAATAACGTGTAAGCGTGACGACCGACGAAACGTCTGGCATAAAGCTGTAACGTTCCCGTCCAGTTATAAAAAGATTTTTTACTACAGCAATCTTATGCACAGTGCTTAGGCTTCCACGTATGTAAATTCGTATTCGAGGAATGATAAATCGCGATCGATTCGACGATACGGTAAATCGAAAAACGATGGCGATTTTGATGTTTTGGCTCGGTGGGCGGAACCGTAGATTCCGTTCGCGCTGTTCCAAGTATCGACCCGTGAAAGGCAGCCTCCAGCGACCTCACCCCGTAACTGCCACCTACCCTCTCGTCACGACGTTGAAACACGAAGTTGGCATCTTTGAGTCTCTCTCTCTCTCTCTCTCTCTCTCTCTCTCTCTCTCTCTCTCTCTCTCTCTCTCTCTCTCTCTCTCTCTCCGCTCTCCTCCCTTTCTCTCCCTCTTCTCTCTCTCCCTCTCTCATCCTTTAGTTTCATAATTCAAAGATTCGTCTTTATCAAGGGCTTATGGAGGACACTTCAGAATTTCAAAGAAGCCGTTCGATTAGCCTAGCTATCTAAAGCTTTTAAACAACCGTATCAAATCAAAATTGTGTTTCTTTAAGAAGGCTATAAAACTACTTGTGTCTGTATTTTTTCTATATTTTTCTGTTATTCTACTATCAAATGTTTGATTTTATATGGAAGAAAATAAGAGTTCATATGTATAGATTGAATAAATTTCAGAGAAATTTTTTAATGTAAAAATAAAAACGGTCACTAGGCAAGCATCTTGGTTTGTTCATGGCACATATGCATTTTATGCTGATGTTAAGTCTACACATATATACGATTTTAAAACGTGTAATAAAGGTGGCACAGTTAATTGAATACATATGTACATGTATACTCTCGTAAGCTAACACGTACACACGTGCAAACTAACGAACACTTGACATTTCAAACGGCCGTACTACAATTTTTCATCCACTCTGGTTTTTCTCGTAAATATAAATCACAATTAAAGCAGACACGTTTATAATTTCTTTAAAGAATTAATCCGCATTTCTTTCAAACACATTGAAAATATTTATATAGAATCAAAGCTCTAAAAATTCTTTCGTTTTAACAACTTGAATATTATAACACTATTCAAATGTAAAATACACACTCGTAATTGAGTTTACGAGTTGCAAAATTCTGTCGGACCTTTACAAAGTTTATCCAATTGATCATATTTGTTGCAAAAAAGTTTTGTCGTTTCACAAAGAGAAAGAGTTATTATAACAATATTCTCTGTATTTCCTAAAACAACGATTTTGATTAAAGCGATAGCTCTGCTGACAAGTGCGGCAACGCGATATGGAGGATTGCACGTTCGTAAAAGTGCGATTAAATCGTTAAAACGTACGCTGCTTTTGTTTTCGTCGCGAAAGGTGATACCATGTAACGCATATACGCCACAGCGATAGCAGTAGGAGAAAATATCGACGTGATTCTGCCGTATCCTGGCGTCAAAGGAGAAAACGTGAAGAGTGCAGGGTGAACCGAGGGAGTAATTAAAACCGCGTATCCACGACAATGCGAGAGAGATACATCACGGCATATACACGAAATACGAAACCGTTCAGTGAAGTGTTAATTAACATATAACTTCGACTGACAAAGCGCACGTTGAAAATAAACATCGTTACCGGTGACATAAAATACTTCCTATGTTAGCGAACGCATTATTTGTTGTCATGGAAGAATATGAAAATAAATAACAGCTACACAAAGAAGAGTTATAAAAAAAAATAAATTCTCCATTAGTTTGGTGGCATTGATCACGATTTTTCGCAACGGTTACTTTTCACCGATCGTATACTTACAATTAGTTAAATTAATCTACGTAGCTAAATGCAAACTTGCATTCGCATATTCTTTAAAATTAAATATCATTTTGTGAAACCTACGTTGTTGCTGACATTTTAATGTGACTGCAGCCGCAAAAATCTCAATTTATCGAATATACAACCAAAAAATAATTTTGCGAAACAGAATTATTTGGAAGACAATTTAATTATTCATGCTTTTACTTAACTTTATCCTTCCTTATGTATATTTTTTTTCTTGCTACGTCATATAATTATTTTAATTTTCTCTTTCCTTCTGTGTAACAAATTTCAACATTTTTGCTAGCTATCGCATTGTGTGTAACGGTTTGCCTGTATTACGGATTCATATCATTTGCAACATAATAAATAGAATAAAACTTTATCAAACAGTATAATAAAAATAAATAAATAAATATCAAGGATATTTACACAGCAATATCATTTCACGATATATACGATTGAGCAGTTCTGGCAGTCAGATATATCCTGCGCAAATAAATTCCAGCAGAATTTTTCATCCGAGAAAAATGTTAGAAATTTCTTGTCGAAAAATTCTCCGTTATGAAATTGGAGCGAGAAAACGTGCGCGTGTGCACGGTGTTGCCATATACTTAATTAAAAATCTATACAGCGAATATTTAACGCGCGTGAAGCACAGCGTTTGGATTAAATAAACTCGGAGTCTCGTATCGAAGTTATTAAAGCAAAATCTAATCGCCTCGATTTTCTGTTTCAGGAATTTAATGTTGCGAAGGAGCAACACACGGTGCAACCGTCAACGAACGAATCGGGTAATCATAAATTTCTTTAATAGAGCTCTTTTTTTCCGTTCCCGCAAATATTAATTGAAGTTATGTATGATTTAAATGATCCTTTCTCTCTCTCTCTCTCTCTCTCTCTCTCTCTCTCTCTCTCTCCTTACTACCAGTCTCTAGAAATTCATATTTAATTACTGTTAGAAAGAGACAAAGAACTAATTAAATCTTTAAGGCGACTTTAATTAATACTCATTATAAAGATAACTTCTAGCTTTATACGCTTTGTTTTATCTCAGAGAATTACATACACCGCAAACGCATTTAAAAGTTTCTTCTATATTTATCAACAATTTCTAAAGTAGTGTTCCGTGTTTCGCTTTTATTATCCATCACAGACTATTGCGGTATTGACGCGAGCTCGACGCGCGTCGTTCATCCTCACCGACTCGGAACTCGATTACGAAGAAATTTACGAGCCATCGTTGCGCATAATTGAAAAGCTCTCGAAAGCTATCTTCCAACCACTATTACCATGATAATTTTTCATCCCGTTTAATTTCGCATAATTCGCTTTTCTATCTGAAGGCCTACCGCATCAAAGTCGCAGCTATCCCGGCGGTGGCGGAAACAGCGGCCGAACATTGGCCAGAAATTCGTCCGTAAGCTCGCAGAGCTCGCTAGAAGGTACATCATGCCCTTCGAGTCATCGCGGATCGTCGCCTCAAATCAGGGCGTTTGGCCCGGACGGACATCATGCTCGACACGACCCTCTACACGCCGCCTCTTCCTACCCACCTAGTAGAAGCTCGAGGTTTATTGAAAAAATAAATCAACAATATTCACCCATTTTCTGCCTAATATGCAGGAATGAAGGAAAGAAATCGGCAATAGTCTAACTGCGAACAACGTTGAAATCAAAGTCACCGAATAAAATTCATAATTAATTTTCTATCTTAATTATTGCTATATTATAATATTGCAAATATTGTTCAATTTTATAATATAGTGAATTTTTTTTTAATTTTAATAATGGCAATTTAAAATACTTTCTATATGGATAAAGATTTTCGTCAGAGATGTTACAATTTTATATGCGACGTTAATTCCTCCATTTGTCTTTCCCCTTTTGTGCCTAGATAGACAGTTTGAAAATTTCCCACAGGTCTCCTTCACCGGCTCGGGCTGCGTCCTTGGATGCACGTTGTGCAAGTCCTGCCAGTTACTCCAGCAGCCTACATAGTGGAAATGCGTCGCCTTCACAGATCTCTTTGTCGTCCGTGGCAACGGGCGTAAGTTCCACTTGCGCGTGTTCCCCGATGAATGCTGTTCAAAGTACTTCCAGACAGACCAGTCGTTGCTTATCGCCTCTTCTCATTCCACCGCCACGAGCTTCCATAAGGTAGATTATATATATGTATATCATTTTCATAAATAATAAAATTCTTCCAAATGAGAAATGTTGGAATCTTCATAAAGATTATATCATAAATAGATATAATATATAAAAAAATATTTTCATCAGAAAATCGCATATTATTTTTTTCAATAATTTCCGCAATTTTTTCTTCAATTTAAAATTTGATAAAATTTCTTTCTAATAATTTCTGAAATCGTTTAACTTTTGCTGGATCTTCATCGGTAGAATGTATTTTGAGCGTAATTTAAAAATGAGATGTTTTTTATTTTTCGATAGTAGCGACGGTGGTCCCATACCGCCTGCTTCTCCGCTTGGCTCTTTACAACCAGATCTTTATCAAAGACGAGATGTTTGTGTCTTTCTCAACGCTCACAGGTATATAATAAAACTTTGCTTATAAAACTTCACAGTTGAAAAGCAGATTTTTTTATATTACTTTCTTTCACCGTGCCACTCAATTATCTTAGAAGATAGTACATTCGTATTGCGATGTTCGTGTAATCGCAGGACGGGCAAGTATTTGGGCAAACTTCATCTGCGCTTGAGATACGACTTCGACAAATCGGATCTGGAGGTCCATTTGATCGAAGCGCAAGAACTCGCCAGCTGCGATCAGGGTGGCTTCAACGATCCCTACGTAAAACTGAACCTCAGCCCGGAAGTGGATAGCAGAAAGAGACAGACGGAAATTCACCGGAATAATCCAAATCCGTCTTTCAATCAGTCTTTCAAGTTTCCTGTCAGCTACGAGGAGTTACAAGAGAAGACTCTAGTTTTACAGGCAATTACATTGTGTCATCGCGGATCGCGTAATAAATAGAATAGACATTTTCAAAACTAAATTAAATTAAACTAAAACAACCGGTTAACTAAAGTAAAAGTCGCAAAAATAATATATGTATTATGATTCAATTAGGTGTTTGATTACGATCGCTTTTCGAGGAATGATGTGGTAGGCTCCTTGAGGGTGGCTATGAACAGCCTTGAACTAGTTTCTTCCACATCTTCGGTGGAAGTTTGGGGAGAGATAGCGGGAGAACGTAAACCGCCGGAAGAGATTCAGGAGGTGTTGGTTTCATTGTCTTATCTACCAAGCGCCGAGAGACTCACGGTACTCATGATAAAAGCCAGAAATTTGTTCCCCCAACAGGTAAGCAGAATACAAATATATATGATATTAATAAAATAAAAGATGTTTTCCCCTCCAATTCAATTTATTTCTTACTTCAGTAATTTTAGTAAACAAATCTCAAATACATTTTCCATAATATGCTTGTCAATGTTTTGCATTTATTATTTTCTGTAAAAGATTTTGTATTGTTAAATATTTTTATTCCAAAAATTAAAAAAAAAATAGAAAATTGAGGCAAAAATGTTATTTTCATTTGACTTTCATTAAAAAAAACTGAAAATTCAACATGAAATATTGATTTACCTAAAAAATAATTCTGCAATAGATAAGCTTGAAAACTATTAAACTCAATTTGCTAGAATAAACTTAAAGCCTTTTTTTTAACTTTTATAACTTAATTTATATGATATTCTTCTGACTGTTGCACAATTGTCAGACATGAGTTATATTTAATTAACGCGGCGCAGGATAAGGAAACATTAGATTCGTTCGCGAAAGTCAGCCTTCTCTGTGGCGAAAAGAAAGTGAAGAAGAAGAAGAAAACGGCTGTTAGGAGAGCAACGATAAATCCTGTGTGGAATGAAGCGATGTCATTCAATATACCTGCCTCGTCACTAGCATCCTCAGCTATAGAGGTATACCTAACCGTCAGGATATTTTCCAAAAGCAGTAGAAATTGCAACGGACTTTGCATAAACCGAATAAAATTAATTATCTCTATTAATTAATTAATCATGTCTGTGCAAGATATGTGTGCTGGACTCGAGCAGTGAATTAATTGGCGGAAACGCAATCGTCGGTTCTTGCATCATCGGACCGGCCACGGGCGCGGACAATACTAGCGGCAATAGTCAAGGACGAGAGCATTGGCTTCAGATGACGCAGTCACCGAGGAAGCAAATCGCGGAATGGCACACGCTACATTAATCCGATCATCATTACGATCGAGCAATTTAATCAACTGAGTAATTCGCGTCCCCGCTCGTGGGAAATACAATCTATCGTCGTAACGGATAGTCGAATGACCACGTACACGTATGAACGTAGCGATACTACATGTAAAAATGGCAACAAAATATGTATTTTCCTTTCCTCTAAAACAAAAAAAAACAAAAAAACAAAAAAACAAAAAAGCAAAAACAAAAATGATGATCTGTTAAGAAACCGTTCTTCTGCACTTTTATAGATATATTAATGGTCGTTGAAGATTCGTAACATATCGTCTAAAATGTCGACGCGCAAAAAAAGAAAAGAAAGAAAAACACTAATCGTAAATATTCTTCATATATCCACTAATAAGCACGCGCACTTACATTTTCGTTTGTTGCACGACACTTAGCGCTACGCGCGATTCAACTATATATTTGTTAATTTTGGATACCTGAACGATTTAGAGACACGTATTTTTAAAATAATATTGATGCACTGATACGATTCCGTGAGCAAAGCTATAACAAAGGAAACGTGATCCAAACTGTAAAGCAAAAGCAGAGGCAGATCTCGCGTTTCGCTTGACAGATCAATAATTAAACGTACAAACTAATATTTTAAGATAAGATTGACATCCGAAAGAGAAACAATTACTATAATTCCGCGTATAATTCCTGATCGAATCACTTTCGATGAAGAGGTTTTTTTCGAGTTTACTCCACGTTTCTCTCGTGATTATGCTTTTTCAAGCCGAGAAAAAAAATTATATATACATCGGAAATCTAAGTCTGATATTGTGTGACAAATGTGGCCTGGAAAAGTATTCAACGTACGTCTCTCGTCTATAGCTTACAGATTTATCGGAGAGGCCTAGAAATATTTCCGCGCGAACCAGCATGTTAATCGCGCATATTTACTGTCCTTATTATCGTGTATTGTCGAGGATGTAATTCATATGTTAAGCAAAATGATACACGATGTAAAACGTCTTTCATTCGGCTTACGTATGAACACAATTCACGTAACTGGCAATGAAAGTTATTTGTCACGCACATTAATCTTTTTCAACGATACCTACTTTACGTACAAACTTACTTCGCCGCCACTGAATTACGGAAAATTAAGTCTGATCTTTATACGAATCAAGAATTACAGACATGAAACTGTATCCAACCGTAATTCACCATATCATATATTGACAATTTATAGTTTTATTGTCGGGTCTATTTCCCTTCTGCGTTTGAATATGAAAATGATCAATTTGCCGGTTATCAGAGAATCTAATTGTATGTTATACGTTACGTTTAAGTGTCTGTGGTTTGTCAACCGAAGTTGCATTGTCGTGATTCATTGTTGGCAAGAAAGAATTAAATGTTAATGAGTATTAAGTATATATGAAATAAATATTATATTGAATAAGAGTATAAATATATACATACATATATATATATATATATATATATGTAATATATATATAAATATATATATATATATATATATAATAAATATAATTAGTTAGTACTTTACTTTTAATTAGTAAATACTACATGACAAACGACTCCTGACGTATCTC